GGAAAATAATAGACTGTAAGATTATTGTCTCAACGCACACACATTATCCATACTTTATTACGCGTCTCGCCGCGTAACTCTCATTTAACTTCACGATATTTAAAGAAATGCATATCTTTTCCGTAAGTTATTCGCATAACATAACCGACCTAAATCGCTATATGCTGCCGATCTCTCTTCCAGAAGAACGGATCTAGTTGCAGGAATTCGCACGGAGTTATTGCCTTCTCGGAGACGCAAAAAATTGGAGCGCAATGCATTAAAGTGCGTGGGTATGTGCGTGTGTATGAAAGTACGGCCGTACATATTTACATTTAACCTATTTCATCGGAAAAATTTTCCTTCAAACATAAGAACAAAATTATTCATGTGAAAATGATATCGTAAATAAGCTAATACAACTGCCACTAAATAATTAATTATAAAAATAAAGTACTTGAATTTGTTTTATTAGGAAGTTTCATTTCAAGTAATTAATTACTGAAAATATCGCGACTGTTCAGTATACAACACATTAAATATTTCACCGGTTGAATATAAAATTACAATCCCGTTGAAACAAACCAAATTGCATTTAAGTTAAATAAATAATAAAATTCTATGACGTATTTACATGGAAACTCAATTCATGAAAAATACATCGCTCGCATGCGAGAGAGAAAAAACGTGGGTAAAAAATGGGTGTGTTTCGCGGGAATAAAATCTTAAAAAAAAAGTCCACCACAATATTTTCCAGTGGATTTCGGACACCCTGCATAACCAGTCTTCCGAGATCCTCGGCGTGGAATCCGTCTGTGACTCCAGAGATTAGTTCTCGTGGATTAACATGAACTTGGCGCGTCGCGAGGCACGGCGTAAAAGGCCATGAGCGATGCGCATAATGCGTTAGACGTGAACAATGGGCAGCAGGCGTGTCGTCGGTACATATATACAATGTCACCGATCCTCGTCATCCCCAGCACCACCCATACCCTCCTCCACCCCGCCCTCACGCTCCGTTCCACCTTTCCGCGGCATCTCTCGACCGTTCGCGGCATATCGTCGTCCACCTTCTATCCGTGTGTGTGTGCGCGTTATTTTTTCTCCTTTTTTCCTATCATTTCGAAAGCGGGATATGTGGTCGGAACAGGAAACGCCATGGGAGAGTGAGCAATCGGTATTCCGCAGCTGCGTCGCACAAGCGATGCCGCGATGCCACCGCAGAACGCGCGCGTTATAACGAGACGGACCGTGGCCGCGGCGCGTTGCGCCGAGGAACGTTCAATCACGGGAATGCACGCTTCAAATTTACTCGCCTCTTTCCTCCGGCTCTATGTCGTCGTCGTGCAAATTGACTGTGCACGTACGCGCACAAATTGTTATCCGGCTCTTTTGCGGCCCGGAAAAACGCTCGCCAACGCGACACTCACACAGATTTTCGCGCGTACATTCTCGACCCAATTGTCGGACTCGGCTAGGTGTTGGTTTTTTTTTCCTTTTTTTTTTATTAATGCAGAGAGCATTGTAAAACACGGCTGGGATTCAACGGGGATTAGGTGTTGTAAAAAAAGTTTACAATCGACGTTTCGCTCGACCGTAATTTCAATCGATTCGAGATTGCATTCGCTATGAAAACCAGACTATTAAAGGATGTTTTTATTTAAAGCACTCGCAAAATCTGGTCATTTAAAATATTCCCCGGATGCGCGTCGCGTTTCTGAAACGGAGATAAATTAAAACCGATATTGTAATTTACTGTAATTCAACGTGTAATGCGATATGTCGACGAAGGTGACTTTATATCGGATCGTTACATTCGTTCTTTTAAGGCGATCGTATCGTTGATTGAGCTGTCCAATGCAAATGCTACTACGACGTGAAAAAATGTCACCGTTCCGACCGGACGCGCATAAGCATAAACGCAGTTGCCGGGTACGGACGATATCGATTACGAAGGAGCGAATCGATATCGGTGACTCGAATAACGGATATGAGATTACGAGGCACGAGACGGAACGACATTTATTACAAAAAAGTTACCTCGTTATTGGCTCGGTAAATTTGATGCACATTTCAGAGACTCGTCTTTTCAATGAAAATTTCTTCAAATTGAAAGTGTAACAATTTTGATCGATTTTGGTATGCGTTTAACGCATTCCAAAAGTCCACGAGAATTCAATCGAGCGCTATTCGCATTGTCTTTTTACCTTTATCATTGAATATCTTACTAATTCGTAAACATAAAATAAAATATTTGTCGCTTAAAATTAAACAAGCAATAAAATGTCGGCAATATCGCGAGTTTTGAAGAGTATATCGTTTATATGGTTGAAAAAACTGGGGGCTAAAAACGTGCGATAGCTCTGCGAGAGATGCTGCAGTGTATACTAATGCAAAAACCGGCTTGCGCAAATGGAATTCCGTACGCGTGCCAAAAAATGCGTTAGCCGCAATAACTGCCGGGCTTTTAGAACGCGTCGCGCATGAGATGCATCTTGCTTTGAAGCTACGGGAAACTAGGACACTCCCCGGGGAGTACGTGGTATCCTCTCTGATCACGATCTCTCTACTGGAAATCCAAAGAAGAGCGGTATCAAACTCCTCTCAAAAGATCGCGGACCAGCTTACGACCGTGTTTTGCGTGTTTCGCAAGCCGACCGTCCTCCTCCTCTCTCGCCTAGAACATTCATTTTCGGACCATTCACCGGCCGGCCATCCGTTAAAAGTGTCTTCCCGTCAATAGAACGTATTCATTCGCAACTAAGCGACCTGCGAGTCTCATGAATAAATCGACGGTGATCCGGAGCTCGCCGGACCGGTCGCCGACGCACGTCTCATTATGACGCCATTAAACTTTCCTCCGTCTTTAATAATTCACGTGTTAATTATTGTCTATCCCTCGTCCACGCCACGCCATCCGACGGCGAACTATCGCGAAAGTTTTAACCGGTAAATCCCGGCGGCGAGCGACGAGACAGTTTCAACGCGATTCGCTTTATTAAGTTAAAGAATTAAGAGCAAACAATGGAGAGCAAACACACCGGCGAGGGAATGCGAAACAACTGGGGAACCGGTCGCGCGGTAAAATTTGCAAAGAACTGCATCACGCGGGTGAGCCCGCATCCGAGAGAAATGCGAGATGGAGGAAGAAAAACACGAAGACGAAGACCTCTCGTTCGTCGTTAACAGAACTGTCTCTGAAACATCGAGCGCGAAATAATGCGCTTTTTGCACGTGCAAAAAAAAAGAGGGATACATTGTTAACTGTAAAACTAAATAGCAAAAAACTTCAAAAAAAAAAAAAAAAAAAAAAAATAATAGGTGCGATGGGAAAAGATTCTTTCGTTCGGTACGAAATTAGAGAAGCTACGAGTACCAACTACTCGTACCGAGCTGTCGCACTCAAGCCGTCCCTTTCTACTCTCCGCACGAGTCCTCATGCAGTGCATCCCTTTCGTGTCATGTTAGAACGCGCAGAAGAGAGAACGGAGAGGAAGGAAGAAAAAGGAGAGAAAGTGAGAGGCTTGAGAGGAGAAGAGGGAATAAGCGAGAACGTGAAATTCAGTGAAAGAAGAAAAGAAGAGAAAGAGAGAGAGAGAGAGAGATGGAGAGGGATCAGGAGGCAGCTTTCTGTCGGGACGCTGCATACCGAGGACTGGAAAACGCATTGTTTAGGCTGCACTCACACCGGTTCAAGATGGGTGTGTCACGGGCGTGAAATACCGGCGAAGTGACTCCGTCGAGTGAGTCGACCCGCACTTGGACGGTGCTCGAGTCGCACCGCAGATTCCATCGGACCGTCATCTAGGCGAGAGAGGCGTATATTTGATCTACCGACTGGAGATGCACTTTCCGCAAATCGATTCCACTTTGATCGCGGACTTGGTCGCTTCTCCCAGGACGCATTTTAGATTAGTCCACTCGCACGTACTTAAATCGCACGACCGAATAAGGCGCCGTCGAATAATCGCTTGCGTTTCTGCGTTGAATTGAACGTGCTTCGGAATTCATCGGTTGAAATTAAATTATTATGGACACAGAACAATGCGTAAATTTATGAAATAACTTTCTGTGAACGTGAAATATAAAACAATTTTAATTATTTCAGAACATTTGTTATTAAAATTGGAGTTAGAGATGAAAATTTAAGCAATTCTAATATGATTATCTTCAAAACAGCTCGAATAATAATTTCATAGTGCATAATAATGTTAAAATTTATAAAAAATAAATTAAAACAGGCTTCATAAAATGATATTTGATTGTTATGTGTTTGTGCTTGTTAATGTTAATTGGTAGAACAGAATATTAGATAGCGTAATACATCGAGAAATATTGGGTATCTTAAAGTAAAAAAAAAATTCGAATCATAAAACTGTATTATAGTATTCTCTCTTGTTCAATAACTAAAATTCTTAGTCAGTTTTAAAAGAACGTGTTAAGTATGTTGATGGCGACATCCAGCGGATGTCAGCTGAATGTATACTTTCCTAGCGTGGTAAAGCAGGACGCGGGACTTAATCAAACTTGAGGTGCAAGCAGTCCGAATAATAATGTACATAATTATCGCCTCATCAGACCATTGTCTCTATCTAGGACATAATTTAAGTAACACTGAAACTCGATTGAGATCGTAATATATGAGATCGCTATTAAAAAGTGCTAATCGCAAGCACTAAATCATATTTCCACGATCTACCTGCTCCTGATCCACTCAATCATTCTGTTACGCGTTCTTTGCACGGAATCAAGTCATTAATCAGTCACGGTCCAATAAGCGTATGATGGTAATTAACGAGAGCTAATACGAACTTTTATATCGATCTATAGAAATAAACGGGATGTCTACCGTTTATTGTTGAGCAGAAATATCGGATACAAACGCTACTCCCAGAAAGGATCTGATAGAACGTATAAAAGACGGCGCTACAATGGCAAAGGGCCGATCAAGCGACTTAGAGGACACAGAGCATAAAAGTTCGCTCGATCGCTGGCTTGCACTTACAGACCAATGTACTTACCTGCAAATTGGTTCTGGATAGTCTCGTTCGTCCGGTGGATTCAGGAAATTGCCGTCGTTCACCGCCGAAGACGTCGATCCCCGCGGCGACCTCGGGCCGCCCTCCGGTTCGCCAATCAGCACTTCTGTCCGACCATTTTGGAAAGGGCTGCTCGCACGACGTTCCCCAATTCTTCCGCTCGGCACCGGTTGCTGTATCGGGAAAATAAACGCAATTTTACGCTTTTAGCGAGAGCCATACCATTTATAAACTTGGACCCGAGGCGCCACAAGTCTGTCGCGTTTTATTTTGTCTATGGATTCTCTGATTAATTTAGCAGTTTCGTTTAACTTTGGCGTCTTATTCGTGCGTTTTGTTGACTTTAAAATATCTTCGTAACTAAGTCACGAATTGAAATACCGTCGAAGTAAATTTATTTGAAATTAAATAAAGAAACAAGTTCTCTTATTTATCCGCATTTTCCAAGTTTAATTTCAAACAAGACGAAGCAAGTAAGTAAATAACAATGTCCGATTTGAGAATATCTGATTTGTGATTTATATCCGATTGAGAAAACGTATAAATTTCCGTAACTAATTGATTTATACGCACGCAAACTTCCCGGTAATACAACTCGAATTGAATTTCATTTTAACAATTAATTTATGGGGAAATATTTATAAAAAAAAATATCGTGATTATTGTCCGTTATCAACTGTTAATTCGGAAAAGCGTTTCGTGAAGCATAAATAACAACAGCTCGCGAACCTTGCGAAGGCTCCATTAATATGCCCAGCATTGGCAATTAAGCATGATAAGCTAACAATGTCGATTTACTGTTCCGGGAAACTGTTTAATAATTACTTAAGAAATCTCCAACGGATGTTGCTTATGTAAGCGACGCGCGATTAGTACCAACATAATGTAGTGTGTTCGAGAATTTGTAACTGAGGGACTTAAAGTTATAATATAATTAAGTATATCATATTATTATGCAGCGTATATTTCCGATTATTTATACTCAAAACTCCAACATAAAAATCTACGCTATAAATAATCTGGTATAAAAATCTAAGCTATAAATCTATTTTATCATTTAATATTTTAGTAACACAGATTTCTCTTCATTTTCAGATTGTCGCTTTCGCTTCCACGCATATGTGTAAAACCGAAATTTATATCACAGTCTTTGTAATAATAAATGATTTAAATATAATTTGTATTCCGAAAAGAAATGCGTAAGAGGAGAAGCGCGTTTACTTACCAAGAGATTCGGCTCTTCGACACTGTGCTGCTTTTCCAAAATGTCCTTTCGTTCTTGCGAGGTGTTTTCCACTCGGATGTCCGCCTCTTTTCCTAATCCCTTGGGAATCGTACCGTTGCTAAGTTTCGCAGAGAAAGCATTCGTCCCCAATTCCCTGAAACAATCAAGGCAGGTATGAATTAATTAGAAGCCGTAACAGAAATAAAAATAAAATTATTTAAGTCGCCGGCGATAAATGTGACAATTATCAAAGTGAATAGCTCTCCGACTTTCTCCCTATTGTACAAAATAAAAATGGGCCGCGCAAACGCACCAGTATTGTGAAAGGATATCAATCACGACAATCGCAATTTGTCACATCCGGTCTGCAACGATGCCTCCTATAGGCGTTGCGTACATTTTCCCGGTTACAACAGACACCGATGGTTTATTATGCTTTGACAGAAACATCCCCGAGGGATATTAAGCCTTCAGAAATTAATTACAAGTTATTGCGCCCGCAAACCAACATCGTCCTACCGCAATTTAGACACAAATTATTTTTAATCGCTATACCGAAGCACCTGAACCCCAAGTATTCTATCTATTAACTATAAATTTAACGACAATTTTATAGTAAATTATGTTAGATGTGTGTGTGTGTGTGTGTTCAACGTTTCATGTCATTAGAAAATAATTAACTTATTTATAAAAAATAATAAGCATATAAAAGATAAATTTGCTTACTTATCTGCCAAAGTAACCGTAATTTGGCCGTTTGTTACATCTTTCGAGGCGGACTCTTCGCTCGTGGAGGCTACCGCATCATTTATCTGAAACATTCACCGAAAATAGCACAAAATAATATGTGTGATTAGACTTTACCCTCGATAAAATTGACCTAAATTGCTAATGCTGTAGTAATATATTTATACCGTAATAGCAGGTCACTTTGTCGCAACTCATGCAAATTTCGCGAAAAGCTACATCCGCGACAAATAATAAACTCTGCCATGATTGCATTTCGCTTGGTCACGATGATTAAAAATTTGATCGAATGAAGAGTTATCGTCATCACGTGATCACGGTGGTACAGCGTAATACTCAATTTAGCTTTATGAAAAACGGGAAAAACTGATTGCATGGTTTTACTCCATTTTTGTGTCGCACGTGCTTCCGCATCTCTGCGCAAAATGCAATCCTCGCATTTATTTCCATCTCCAGCGTATGACGTGTAATCCGCAGCGGGTTGACCCGCTATGTTAATTTTACAGAATCAATACTAATTTTAGGAAATTGATTCACCATAAATACCATTAGATAGATAAAATCCAGAACCGGTCAACGATGCTTAATGATAGAACGCGCGACGGGTGGAAACGGGCCAATGTCACGGTGAAATATTGTTTAAAAAAGTACGCTAATGGTTCTTCTCGTAACATTTCTTCAAATATATATATATAACAGTGCCACCATAATATCAAAAATGTTCTACATTTTTAAAAATATTTCTCAAAATAAGATAATTTTCAAAAGGTAATAAATAACTCCTCTTTTTGCTTTCCCTCAATTAAATAAATGCCATCAGCTGCAACCTTATATCATCGAAATTTCATCATTAAAATTCATTCGCTTATTTGTATGTAATCAAAAGTTTTTTAATTGGATAACTCTGAAGCGTCCACAAATGGAATTTGTAATAGATATATATACACAATATATATATATATTGTGTGTGTGTGTGTAAATATCCGACACCCTTTTTTTTAGTCAAAAGCTCATCAACTCGAACGTGTCTCGAGTATTTCGTTCAATGCATCCTAATACCATCCTAATACCGCAGGTCGGAGAAAAATTGATGCGACAAAATGGCCAGACAATTTCCCAAATGACACCGCCATCGCTAACAAATTAACTTGAAGCCCCTTATCCGTGCACCGTCCATTTAACCGAATTACGTGCTAATATAAAAAAAAAGGATAATATACGCCGCCGTTGATGGCAGTAAACGGCCGGCAACGCTGGGAACGACACTAGCCTATAGTATCGAGAAAACTCGTTAACGCTCGTCGATGTGTTACGACATCCTCGCGCGGTTTCCGTTCAATGTGCTTCGCGCGGTATGCGAGAACTCAATGCGTGCCTATTTACACGAGATTTTAAACCCGCATGCCATATCGCAATCACGCGAAACGATCCCGCATATTATTTTAAAATATCTCGCCTGCGAAACGCGGTTAATGACGAACAATATGCGGAATAATTCTCGGGCGAATGGACGCTGGAGATGGAATACGAAAATTAATAAAAAAGAAAAGGGACATTGAAAGAATCAAATCCTTTAAAACCCTTTTACATCCCGTCATATAATTCTATTCATAAAAATTTTCTCCAGTCTCCCTGTGAAATAATTAATTATTATCAAAAAACTTAATTTGATCTCTCTTTGATCACTTGATATTGTAGAGACATGAAAATGATTTCTATGTCATTCTCGTAATCATTAATTTAATTATAACCAGTTCGTTAATAAACTGATTCGAAAACTTGTAAGATTCTATTGCAAACAAAAGTAGAAAATACTATTTTACTAATTGATTGATTTATTATTTTTCTCTGCAACGAGTGAGCAGTCAATTTTAACTATTGTAATATTTATAGTTTCAATATTTCATATTTATTCATGATCTTCGTAAATTTTGATAGAAAATATATTTTACGTTCAGTATATTTAAAAAAAACATGCATAGAGAGAGAGGAGTCCGTTGTTTTCACGCATTTACAGCGGCGAAATTTCTATTCTCGTCTAAAAGTACAATGTACTTTCGGGGAAAGTGTCGGATGACACAATACTTGTCGGCTGGTTACGAACTCACAGTGAGAGCATCAAGTATCGATACTTTCGAGCAGCTTTACTCTCGATGGGCGTCGTCGCTCCGCGCGTTGAATGTAATACGGGCCGGCTTCTCTTTTTTTCTCCGCGTATTACTCTTTCCGCGTAATTTCCTCTCGACAATGACGACGCGGTGCCTCTGCCGGACCGACTGAAAGCGCGGGGGCGTTATCCACGACCGCTGAAACTCGTTATTGCGTAATCCGGGAGTGCCGGGGGTCAGAGTTTTGGACGTGCGAGCGAAGGCGCGAGCGAGCGAGAGCGAACGAAGGCGCGAGCGGGCGAGCGAGAGCAAGCGACGCGATGCAACGAGAGAAAAAGCGCACTTTCCGCGCACCTCGTAAACAAGGCCGCGCATAATCGCCGTCCGCCTCTCACTCCACTCATTTACTTTGCATTCCGCATTTCATAAGCAGCCTCCGCCGTAACGATTTCGCTCGCGGTCGATCGATTCATTTGCACGCCGCGCCGTACCGCGCCGTCCGTCGCGTCGCGGATTCGCGGACGGCCGTGTGCGTTCAGCATGTCGGATGGAATCTCGCGGCTGCGAGCGGAATAAGAATCGCCGGAAGACAAACGCGAAGAATGCGATATCCTTTAACGCGCTTCTCCGGTTGCTATTCACGCGCGGCTAGATTGTATTCAGATTGTGGTACTTCTGTCAACATTGAATTAAGATGAGGCCTGAAGGTCTCAGGCGCGAAATGACTTCCAAGCACCGCTAGTGCTTTTAACAAGTTTCAAAGCGTATTAAATATTATTATTTCTTCAACAATTGAAAAGACTTTTCGAAATAAAAATTCTGCAAATTCTGAGACACCAAGCGTAATGCAAACTACAAATTCTCTATTCTTCTTCCTTTATGTGAGTTTAGACTTTCAAGAAAATATAATAAAAAAAAAAAAGATTGTAAAAACCAAGCTTATATAAATAGAGAAAATAAAGAACAGAATACCTGGCATATATAAAATTTAATCAAAAAGCCCAGAAACCACGAGAGACTGTTTGTTCAGGGCATAAATGGGTTTAAAGCCGGCTGCAGCGCAATCTGTGTAAAAGGTGATTTCTTTCAGTCGCGCGACGTATAGTGAGAGGCGCGCGAGATCGTATCTCGCCGGAGAATCGTATCGAATCGTTCGAACACGATATTAACAAGCGATTCGGCTAATTACGTGTTCACGACGTTAACTTTACGTACCTGCTGATGCAGAATAGCCTGGATGTCGCGCGGCTGGATCTTCTTCAGCGCCGTCAGTTTCTGCAGCCTCTCCCTCGCGCTCCTGCGAACAGAGGAAACGTCGTCGTTTGAAAAGCTGTTTGTCGCGCATTTATCCTTGGAAAAGACGAACAAGATACTAGCGTGACTCACGAGAGAGCGAATCCTTATCGCGCGTGGAAGTACATCTATTCGTCGCTTTTTCCTCTCTTGGAAACGCGCGCGCGCGATACGATCGCGTTTGTAGATTGTGTGAAATCTTTTGTGAAATCTAATTCGCAACGAGTGATTATCCGCTTTTATTGAAGACACTTTCTCGAAAGATAATAGTCGCGACAATCGGGGGGGGGGGGCGATTTAATGGATGCAATTTTCTCAAACGAAATACACGATCGAACAACGTAACCTTCCCGCGGCCGAGATAAATCACGCCTTTGCACGATTAAGTGGAATAAATTTTGCATACGAGAGAAAAAAAGGTAACAAGGTAAGCAGGGTAATTGCGTATATAGGGCAAGTGCATACGACACTTTTCTCCTCCGACAAAATTGATTCCATCGTATTATCGGCATTAACATCGCGATAGCCGGCGTCAATCTTCGTGGCACCTGCGAAAGAACGCCGATTCGGCGTTTCGCGAAAAATCGCGAAATAAAAAGAAGAAGTACGGATGTCTGAAAATGGACTTGCCGATATCTCATCGCGGACTGTCATTATCGACCCGATTGAAACGCATGCTTCCAAGCGATTCTCGTGACATTTAGATGACGCATTCTCACGTCCGATCAAAAACACATTCGCTTGCTCGGACATCACCGCCTTTTATGTGACGTTTAATCGATACACGATTCCGCCCCGACGAGAATGTATTTACCAGAAGCGGGGCACTAGATCCCGCCTCGCCTCTCGTGTGCGTGTGTCCGCGCGTAGAGACCGATATACGCTGTTACGCGCGCAAGGCATCCGGTCTTTCGTTCCGGATATTCGTTCATTATCTCACCTTTCGACGGCGATAACCCAGGCGTCTCGTATCCGCCCAGCGTTCGGCCCGTCCAGCTCTTCTGTCGGGAATTCACGAAGAATTAATTAGGCAAATTTATCGTGCATTTAACATCGCGTCAAAGGGCCCATTACCGGGCCGCGGCTACAGTAAAATAGCGGCGACCGTGTAACGGAAGAGAGCAGAAGTAAGTGAAGCGCGTCCGTGAGTCTGACAAATTCTCTTCGTTTCTCATTTACGCGGAGCCACCGTCACCCTATTAATTCAATATCTCTCCTGCCTGGACAGTGCTTTTCTGTTTTGTTCCTTTTCCTACACGCGGAAAGAGATTTCCCCCGTGTGTGCGAGCGTTTTTATTTCGCTCTCTCGGTAATCCGACCGTCATTTCCCTCAAAAATAGCGTAGCGAAACATTTCTACGTGAATTCAACGCGCGCGACGATTAAATTCGCCGCGTCGGAAACTCTCCATACGCGCGCAGATCACACGTCCACGTTGTCCTCGTAATTTTTTGTAACCATCGGTTATTTATATCGTCCCTTAGCGTGGAATAACTACGGGCCTACCGCGTATCACAACCCACTTTTCTATAAAAAAAGAAAAATCTGATCGATCGCCGCCGCTACCGTTCTTAGTGCAGCACGCATCTTCGTCGGCTTCCTCGTCGTCGTCGATGAATTTTATAGCGGACAGATCAAAATGCCTCGCCACGTCGGGCTCCTCGGGTTCGACGTCGTAGTTTGAGAAGTCGGCAAATTTCGGTGGATCGTCAACGAGCGACTCCTCGACAACGATCGACCGGCCATCGAGACCCGAGCGCGATGAGCAGCCGCAAAATATCAACTTGCGAAAGAATTTTGACATATTCGTGCTTTGTACAAATAAACAACTTTTATATAGAGCACACTTTACGCTCGAAATTAAAAGTCCACACTTTCGGCGTGTTATACTTATCTTTTCAACCAATATTGAACCGCATTGAGTTCAATTTATTTTTATTTACGTTCCATTAATAAAAGCGTCTAGTTTCGTCGTAAACGACACAAAAATAATGCGACTGCAACTGTTTATTTTTTCATGCAAATCCCGTCTTTCATAATTTAATATCGCAAAAACTGTAATTTCCTCGCTACTGTACTATCCAACAAAATTTCGTTTCCGTAAATATCAAGTAAATTTTACTATTCTACTGGTGAAGTAAACAAAAACAAATCTAAGAGTGCTCGCGCTGTTACACACTGCTACACTTCTTTTTCCATCGCATTCCGAAAATCATAATTAGCAATCTGGTCAATTCATCGTTTACAATAGCCGCGATCGATTGGCCGACTCGTTAACGATATTCGAAAACTGATATCGGCACCGTTCGAACGCTGAATGACGCGCTCTCCGAGACCACCGAAAGCTTTTCTGAAAGAGGACGGTATTCGCGTGCACGTGTCACGAAACTAGAAAATAAACTCTCTGCCGCAGCCGGCGACTGAGAATGGATAGCACAGACGCATTCACGAAGGAGTTTATATTTGGAACTACACGCTGGCACAGACGATAAAAATTGACAGAGAGCGCCAGTTCAACGCACTTAACGTGCGGTTCGAATAAAGGCGAAATGTTTAAAAAGAAATCTGCGTAAGAGAGAGAGAGAGAGAGAGAGTAAATCTCGTCGCTGAAATTTTCGCGGGGGAATAAACGCAATGGATCGATGGTGTCGGGCCATTCTTGAATTCCTAACACGATCAATAGTGTCGGGGCATTCTTAAATTCCGAAAATACGTGTAGAAAACCCTCCCCGGGGATCGTTTCGTTCTTTTTGTTACCGGTTGATGTGATCCTCGACCTGGTTTCTTCGCAATCCGCTTTCGCGCGAATGGGGAAGCTGATTAAATGTACGTCTGACGATTTTCATTCCCGGGACCGACCTCAAGACATTTTGTCATGGCCATTGAGAATTCACGGGCGAAAGTTCGCGTTTTACGCGCTTTTCGTGTGCTCACTCCGAAGTGCAATTTCCACGACAACACAGGATAAATTGATTTCTCAAATCCCGTCCAACGTAGCGCGTGCATCTGCCGATTTCGTGATTAATACTTCTTCCAATTAAGCCAATTAATCAAACGAAATTTCTCATAAATTTCATTCGACTAAACCGTTTATTTTCCAATCGCTCGCACAGCCTGACAGCTTTCGATACCTGCGTACCGTGCGTACGTATCTATGTGTTACACATGATATATCGCGCCAATGCACTTCGTACTTCGTTCATTGTCTCCCGAACGTATTGTATATGGCTGACACACTGTGCGCGACGCAATTGCATATCGCTTGAAACGCTCTAGGCCAAGACTCCGAGATGCTTTCCGTGTCACTACCTGCATACATTCATTGCCTTAAAGCCTCTTTGTGCTCCATTGAACGATAAAAGGAGCACGTTAGCAAAGAAAATCCGCAACAGTCCCCGTTCCTGGTCCCTTTTCAAAATGTTCTGGCTCGGATCCAAAACGTATTCGGATACGGCGCGGCAATTCGGGGAAAGTGTGTTTTCATCTAAGAGCACATCTCGTTTTTACACCCGTTTCATTGTAAAACGCTTTTAACAGCAACAGAGACGTGAATACCGCATGAATATATAAGTGCGATGCAAACGTTAGGCTTTGGCGAATTCGGTTTCGAGCGGATAACCTACTGGAAGATATTTTCGCGTATCGGGTCAAATTATCATTGTTATCGCTAACAATTCACGAATGTCGAATTTTATTTTCACAGTATTCTAACACTTTAACCGATATCTCACTCGCTAAAATTTTCAAACCGCTCGACAAGAAGCAAAACGACGAAACCCCAAACTGTCTCTGTAATGAAAATGTTATTAATAATTTAATATCGTATCGCTGCGCAAGTATAGCAATAATTACGGGATTACCAGCAATTTATCATCGTACGAATCACGGAATTAATGTGCAAATTCTTTGCCAGCGGTAAATCCTCGTTCAGCGCCGAGGATAACTATCCCATTCTCGTTCTGTGTTTACAATGAATAAAACACACGTATGAATACGGCGAGCGGAGTTCAGAGTCAAATCGCATTTGGTGCTAAATGCGGCGCACAATGGAGGTGCGAATGCCGGTGGAAGGCAACGAGAGATAGGGCGTAGGGAGATGAGGAGGCACTACGTTCGCAAATTCGGCGACGCGGTAAATTTGGGTCAAGCAATGCGTTGCCGTGATATCAACGCTGTCTGGAGCGATCTCTCCTCAAACAGTCCGGAGGAATCTACTTCGTCGGAACGGTAACTAGATGCTCGCACATATGCGGTATGTATGTACATACAGCGTGTCACCAATCAACCGCGTTACGTTAAGTAGGCTTTAGGCCGTGCGTCCAACTAAGCCAGTCCGCTCGCTGAAAGACGAGTTCAATAGTTGAGTGTGGTGGTTGACTTGCAAATAATTCAAGTCGGTCAATCCGCTGCTAAAATACCGCACTGACGACCGTAATCGCATTTTCTCGTCGCGCGATTGGTTGGAAATTAGCACGTTTCTCTCTAAAATAAGAAAACAAACTTCTGTCTCTCTGTATTTCGACGCAATTTCTTATCTTGTTATTAAGATAAATCGAGAATGCAGGTGATATTTGAACTTATTATACTTTTTCGCGATCGTCAGAAATCATACTTTGCTTCTTTAATCTAATGCGAATTAATAACCAGAAGTGATTGCTCACGCTGCAAAAGTAATTTTGAAAATTTTATTTTTAAAAATTATATCTGCATATTTCATAATCAATATATGTAAGGTGAAATAACTGTACCAATGTGCGAGATTTCGTTTCGATCATATGAGTAGTATGGCTTGACGCAAGAGGAAGCCAAAACCAGTTTTCTAACTGTATAAGCTTTGCTACAATGCTGTATATAGTATATACACCATATACATACACACAGCGTGTGTAACTAAGCAAACGCAGAACCATGCCTGGCGAGTTTCGGACATTTGATCTATGAATTACAATGGTTCGACCCTGCGCTACGATATATTCAATTACTGTATCAGATACGGCAATTCTGCAATAGTATTACCTGTCAATTTTTAACAAGACAATCAAAAGTACCTTTAAAAAGAACCGAATAATTAAGCAAATAAAGAAAATTATTTTAAAAAATTCAAAATGTAGAAAAAATCCTACAAAATTTTTCCAAAGTCTTATTCATTGAAAGTCATTCGACAAAAATCTATATAACACAAACGCGTATAATAATGATTGAAAAAAGATTACATAATTAAAAAGTTTTGAATCTGCTAGATATGTGATTCTCGTGAAAGATTTAATATATATAGTTAATATATCTGTGCACGTTGTAATATAAATAGAAGATAAAAGTTTGATTACGGCTGCAATATGACATGACATGTTGATTCTATTGATTGCAATCGCTTTTAGCAAATGTAATAACCAGCATAAACTACACGATAAATATTTATTGCTACTATTAGTCATCTCTAGGAAAATTGCACAAATTGCAGATTTGCATTTATATAAAAGGAGAGATTAGTCATCTCCTTTTTCTTTGTCGCCTTCTAATAATATTTTTCCTTCTAATAATATTGAATTGATTTCGTCGCGCTTTAACATTTAACTCTTCGTGTCGAAGCGTGTGGCGTATTTAAATTTAAATAAAAATGATTTAATAAAACATTTGTTTAGCTTCTTCGCAATAAATTACTTGAAACAATACTGGTAAATTATTGGAACGAAAGGCATCGCTCAAGATTATTGAAGGCAATTGAGGAACAATCGCTAACGGTTCGCTAAGTTTTACGACCGCGATAACTGTTTCCGCGATGTAACTACATCGAATTGAGAGATTGTGATCTCGGTGCGCGACTGTCAGCCGAATTTCTCGAGAAACTATGCGCATTACTCGGCATTGCATTCATAGATCAATGTCAGGCATGCGGCATAATCGCATTGATACATTAATATACGTCCAAATGTCTATTTTAATGGCATATGGTTTAAATTAACAACAATTCTAATTAACAATAATAATGAGCGAACTGACTA